ACCACAAGGTCTTGCCTTACTGTATGATCTTGCATAGCTTGGCTTACAGGTATTTAGGTGGAGGCCTATCAGACCCAACGTACAAGGATGCTGAATTTCCATACAGATCCTCTCCACAGATAACAGCAATGTTTTGGAATTTGGGAAACTGGTGCAGAAACAGATTTGAAAAATGCCCGGTTCCAGAAAGATTTCAACAATTCATTCCACACATTGACTACACTATCGATGAGGATCATGAAAAATTTGATGAAACCAAATCACAGTTCAACAATTACTTCATCAATGTCATCAAGAACTTTGGAGGACATCTTTTCATGAATTGCGAGGCTGGTTCTTTGTATCCTCACAGAGAAAGACTCGACGAGGTTGACTTTAAAACTTGCTTCAATGACTATCATGACTTGATGGTGGCAGCTCGCCTTGGAAAGGATGGCTATATCAAGCAAATTGCTGGATATCACACAGATGACAACGACACACGAGTTCGACAAGTCTCATGGGCAATCTTTGAAGTATCTTGGGGAAAGACAAAGGATCGAGATACAGATGAGATTGTTGACTTGACAAGAGCTAGGATGAGAATGACACGTGTGTGCGTTTATCACGTCGGACAGAAGTATGCATCAGACTCTGCTGGGATTGTTGGTGAGTGCTTAGCTGTTATGGCTTTTGAGTGTGCCAGATATCAAGTTGACTTCATCGCAGGTGATGGAAACAAGGCATGCTATTACAGCACACCAAAATCTCCAGGTGTCCCTACATACCAACACAGCCTTATCCAATTCTGGATCAACAGAATGGTAGGTGTTGCAACACAAGCCATGCGCAAGAATTTTGATCCAACTTGCCCTCCAATCAGGGTCAAGCATTTCATTTCTTGCAGTTATCGTGACTTGGATTTTCTTGCAACGCACTTGGATGGCATTACAACAGCAACATACACCGACGAGCTCATGAACAAGACAAATGGTAAAGGTGATTGTTGTATGTTAACAGTTGTTGAGTGGGGTCATTCACGTTTGATGTGTGAGGAACACCCAGAAGACTTTGAGGATGAAGATCACATGAACTATGTGGGTGAATTTTACTTCAAGGTAAATGAAACTTGCTTACATGGTGATCACAACATCTTCATGGTTGCTCCAAATGATCGCGATGCTCATAATCCAATTCTTATCCATCTTGATCCTTCTGATATGTCATGGAATGAACGACATCATTACAAACAGGCCTACAAGAAGAAGCAGTATGCTGATTCAAGAAAGGAAAGACAGAAGGAGAAAAAGAGAAAGGCATATGAAGATCAAGCATCGACGTATCAGGGCAACACAGAGTGGGGTGGATCCTCATCTTCAGCGTCCAGACCATGGAGATCAAGTGAGTGGCGATGAGTGAGTGTACACTTCTTTAATTGAAGATAACACAGCATGAGAAGCCGTGTGCAGTTTTTCTGTGCGTTCAACTTATTTCACACAGATGGCATATACTCTTTTAGATAGAGATAATGCCACAAGTGTCTGAACTTCAATTTAATGTAAAATAGAGACTCTTGTAAATAGAGATACTATATACATTTATCTCCATGAATCATCCGGCGAGCAGACCACTCCGAATGGAGCGAACTTCAAAAATTTACCAACTTCGATTTCAGTCCATTGTTTGCTTGAATGAGCAACTTTGGAGATCCGCTATTTCCGTTTATTTCATGATTTGGTCAATTGTTTTCGTATGACCTGAATTTCTGAATCTTGCGAACCCGAACTTTTCAATTCGAACTTTCACCGGTAGAGCGAGGCATTTTGCCTGTGGAGAGACCGTGCGCGAAGCACCATTGGTCACTACTGGAAAAATTAGCGAATCCGCTGTTCTTTTTCGACATGTCCTTAGGACATTCGCTGCTTTCACGTGTTTTTCAATTCGAAGCCACTGCGTAACTCCGGTTTCTTTTGCTATTTGCCATTGTGTAGAGAAGTCAGGAAGATACTCTTAATACCAATTGGGTACGGCAAGGCGTAGTGCTCTACTCATTGCTTTTGAATTTGTGCCTGTGTTTTTGTTTCGACCTAATACCTACATAGGTACATGCATGAGTATTGAGCACATTTATATGCGCCCTTCAAGGCTCAAGAAAGAGGTATATAGAGTAACCCTGTAGACAAGCACTGACCGGCAACAGGCTGAGAGTAAAAGAGTGCTGTCATTGGGGAAGACGCCTTAGCTGATCTTGAAGTAGACGCTAGGGCCCCTCTTCAGCCCTCCCCCCAATCCCCCCCTCCCGCTTTTTTTTATTTAAACTTAAACCCAAGTTACATTAGTTGGTTTTTGCGAACTAACCTTCTCTGGAAAGCTGACAGGATTACATGTGATAGATAGATAGATAGATAGATAGATAGAATAGATAGATTAGATAGATTAGATAGATTAGATAGATTAGATAGATAGATAGATAGATAGATAGATAGATAGATAGCTGGATAGATAGATAGTTTGGTAGATATATAGCTAGATAGATAGATAGCCAGCTAGATAGATAGATAGATAGCTAGATAGATAGATAGCTAGAGAGATAGATAGCTAGATACCTCGATAGATGTATGGCTAGATAGATAGCTTGATAGATAGATGGCTAGATAGATAGCTAGATAGATAGATAGCTAGCTAGATAGCTAGATAGATAGTTAGCTAGATAGCTCGATAGCTAGATAGCTGGATAGACAGCTGGATGGCTAGATAGATAGATAGCTAGACAGATAGAAAGCTAGATAGCTAGATAGCTAGATAGATAGTTAGCTTGATAGCTAGATAGGTAGATAGATAGCTAGCAAGATAGCTAGCTAGATAGGTAGATAGATAGCTAGATAGATAGATAGCTTGCTAGATAGATAGCTAGCTTGCTAGATTGCTAGCTAGCTAGATAGCTAGATAGCTAGCTAGCTGGATAGATAGCTAGCGCCCTCCCTCAATCCCCCCCACCCGCTTTTTATCTAATCCCAAGCTTCCGCATCTGTAAATATTTGGGTGAACATGCTCACATGTAGAACATCCCATGCAAAATGGAAGGTGAACATGCCAAAATGTGGCAAATACCATACAAAATGGAAGGTGAACATGCCCACATGTAGGAAATCCCATGCAAAATGGAAGGTGAACACGCCAAAATGTGGCAAATACCATACAAAATGGAAGGTGAACATGCCCACATGTAGTAAATCCCATGCAAAATGGAAGGTGAACATGCCCAAATGTGGCAAATACCATGCAAAATGACAAATTCAAGTTCCAAACCGTTGCAAACACTAGGCAAATGGTACCAGCGAAGAAATCCAAAAAAAATCCCAAACCTGCTCAAAAAAAAATCCTAAAACTATTTCACACCCGTTTATAAACCCCATGAATACTATAGTTATAATAAACCATAGTATCATAAACCATAGTTCTTTGGGGGTTACCATGATAATAATGGCATTCCACTTATAAACTATAGTTATAAGTATCATAAAATAAAACATATAGTTGTTGGAGTCATTTGCACCAACTTAGCTATCGTTTGGGGGCCCCACATTGTAGAAAAAAAATGGGGGGTAAGATACTTCAAGATACCCATGGTTTTGAGACTTTATGAGACTTTACATACTTTTACGTTGATCATTTTTATCCTTTTTGCTGGTATGAGAACATTCGGATTTTAATGGGATTTTAACATGTGAATCATCCCATGGGAATATAGATTTTTTTCAGATGAGATGATGAGTAACTCGGATTCCCCTCGGAATATTTACAGATGTGAAGCATCAAAAAATATGTTCCCATGAACCCGTGTGAGACTTTTAGTGAACTGACATGAACTGACTAAGTGTCAAAACCAACTGATTTACCCTCTGGTAATTTAACATAGCTATTGAAAATCACCATTTTTAATGGGAAAATCCTCTATTAATGGTCATTTTCAATAGCTACGTTAAATTACCAGAGGGTATATATTGTTATATAATATTGATGTTTTGCTGAATGAAAAAGGATCAAACTACTCGTACCAATCCACTATTGGAATATCAATAAAACCAGTAGAACCAGTTCGCAGGTTTTTGACGCTCCTCATATGGAATGATTGGTTCATGGAAAACTAGATGCCGTAAACTCCAGGAAAAAACAGGGGGGTCCTGCAGATTTTTCCGTGGAAAATTGAGATTCAAACACTGGGAATATCATGGGAATATCACAGGATGTATGTATATATAATTGGTATATATACAGTATAATGATAGTATAATATATAATAGTATATATATATATACACATAGATATGGAATATAATATATGATTATATATATATAGATATAGATATGGAATATTATGGAATGGAATTGTCCGAAAAAGTGTGAGAGACTCATGACACGCCATTGGTTTTGGGATAGCCAATTTTCAAGAAAACCCAGACGGTGTTTTGATGAACCTGGGGACCTGACCCTCATTTTTTGATGAGTGGATGAAATATCCATGACTGCATGCTATTTGAGTGTGGAAATGTGGGTGCGAGGTTTTGATCCAGAGCTTTATCAACACTTCTGATATTGTGTGATACTTGGAATGTATCCAAAAAACATCCGGAAACACGTCCCCCTTCTTCTTGGTGCCAAAGGCCATGTATTTCCTAAAATCGCTTGCACATATTCCCATGTGTTGATCATGTTTGTTTTGCACGAAACTCTATCCACTCAGAGTTTTCTGACACCCTCCGGAATCAAACTTGGCGGGAAAATCCCGCATTTTCTTCGATGATTTTCCCATGAAAACATCCATTTGCCATCTATAAAATGGCTGATGTTCCATCGTTTTCCTATGATTTTCCCATGGTTTCCACGATCCCATCATTTTCCGTTGATTTTCCTATGATTTTCCCTGGTTTTCCTATGATTTTCCCATGATTTATAGGGGATTTCCCCTGTTTTTCCATCAACTTTTCAGGTCCACCCAGGTCCACCAGCCCGCCGAGCCAGGTCCGCTTCGAGTTGGACAGTGAGACGCAAGATCCCACGGATGTGGCGGAGTATCAACAGCGCGAGACCAATAAACTCATTGAGGACGGGCTGCTGAACATGGCTGAAGTGGTTTTTCTATGTTTTTCTTGAGGACGGTTTTGGTGAGGTTGAAAAAAGTTGTAGGTTTAACCTAGGTTTATTGGTCTATGAAACCAGTAGGTTTATGGTTTGTAAATGACCTTCACGGAACTGTTGATTGATTGGTTAGTGAACTCATTGATTGATTGATTTATAACTGACCCATGAATCATAATAATCATAGTAATCCATGGTTTATAATCATAATAATCATCATATTCAGGAATTTGAATGGTTAGGTTTATAACTGATGAATATTGTTGAATCATAATGTCATCATAGTTGATCATAGTTGTAGTCGCCATAAATCCATAAACCATCATATCGTTGTTGAAGGATATTGAAGTTACAAACCAAGTTAGCTATCAAACATGGGCTCCAACCATCTCCAACCGTGTCACGGGGTGAGTGAGCAACGCTTGCGTTGACAGGTCAGCTGGAAGAGGCCCATGGCCCAAGCAGAAAGCGTCTAGACATAGGATGGCCACCATCCGCAACATGGAACCCGGCAGTGTGTTTGGAAAATGATGCAATGTGGGTAAAATAATAATAAACCCTCCTTCAAAATCACCATAAATGGGTTGTATAAACCATCAAAAATGGTGTGGTTTGTTAATGTTTTACCCACATTGTATCCGGTCCATGTTTGTTCTAAAAGGATGAAGTTGTTCGGTGCAGTTTCACAGTTTCTTCCAAGTCTTTTGGCAAACCATGACACATCATGACACTAGCCATACCCTCTGGTAAACTAACGTAACTATGCAAAATCACTATGCTATTCATGGGTAAATCCACTATTTCTATGGCCATTTTCAATAGGTTTTTGTATGTTTACCAGAGGACTATGACATCTGGAAGTAGCCCAGAATCATGGCGAGATTCCAACTGTTCAGTTCGAGCCGCGCTGCTTCGAGCCATGGAGAGACTGCACGGGATCTTGCGGGACAGGTGGGACACCTGGGGACCGACACGACACGGGCCGACACGGGCCTCACCAAATGATCAACAAGGACCCCTTGCTGATGATTGGATGTACCACATTAACATTTGCCTTATAAAAATTATTCCATCTATTCCCATATGAATTATCCCATTAATTATATTCCATTAGTTATATGTTTATCATTCTTATTCCATTTGCAGTTATATAATGTTATATATCCTATTATATCCTGGTATATTAAAAGAACATGTGATGATATATTATATCCCATCCATATCATCCTATATTTTCTTAGAATGTTCATTTATCCCGCTGTCCCAAGGGATTACGTCCAGCACAACCAACCAATCAGTGACCGGTGTTCTTTCACCCTCCGGTAATCAAACATGGCTGGGGATTCCCCAAGCTAAATGGCGGTCTTAATGGGAACATCATTTGTAAATGGGGGAAGATCATGGAAAGTCACAAACATATCAGAAATTCATGTATTATATGATTATGATTCCATGATGACATGATATATTGTTTGTGATATTGGTGAAGTATGATCGAGCATGATCAGGTGTCTGAAATGATCGTAGTAGACCAGTTTCACGCATTGTGGTATATCATGTAGTCACTATTGAAACATTCATTGCTCTCCATGAATGTTTGGGTTTGGATGTAGTTGGAGGTTTCCTGAAATAGGAGTCCCCCAAATCATCCATTGATTTTCATGTATTTTCCACCATAAACCATCCATTTGAGGGTACTCCCATGACTTTGGAAACCCCCATTGGGATGTACATCATTTGGTTTAATGCGGCCCCCTTCTAGCTTTCAAATCTTGAGAATCCTGAATTTTCAGCCATAAGTTATAGTATACATGGGGATATTATAGCATGGAATATGTATGTACTATATGTACGTGCATATCTATATATATATATCTATATATATATATATACATATATATATATATACATATATATATACATATATATATATAATATTATATATGGGTCCCAAAACCCACATCAACATTCAAGTGCAGCTAGCCAGGGGCTACATCAACATCAACGCGCTGCTCTTTGACGACTACGAGCTGTTGGATGTCTATGGCCCCATGGAACTCCTCGCTGGCTGTACGGTGATGCCAATTCGCGAGTCGAAAGGCAAGCTTCGGATCACATTTCTGTCGGCCTCTCGGATTGAGAGATGGATGGGATGGGAAATTGCAATCTGATGCTTCACTAATTAATATTAATATGGACCATGGATGTTTCCTAAGTCATGGTACCCTCTGGTAAACATACAAAAAGCTATGGAAAATCACCATGCTATTAATGGGTAAATCCACTATTTCTATGGCCATTTTCCATAGCTATGTTAGTTTACCAGAACCCAAATCATCAAACATGAAACCATTTTGGAATGGAAACCCTTGGTGACTTGGAGATCCCCCAGTTTAAGAAACCTACAGCCTTGGAAACCTCTAAGGAGCTTATCGTTAGCAATGTTTGGGACCCCTATTAAGGTCATTCAATGTATATACATATATATTATTAGTATATTAATATCAAGATAGAATATATATATATATTAATTATATAATATTTATGTTAATATATATTATATACACACATTTAGTTATATATATAGGCTGTTTGACAAGCATAAGATTAACATCAGAATTGGCGATGCATTTGAAGTCTCACAAGTTCCCAGTAAGTGCAAAAACCACACATACTATCCATTGAAGGTAAGTCACGATGAAGCCGCAAAGACTCAGTTGCAAGCCACTCTGCAGATTTTGTTTTATCACTTCCCCCCAAAAAGTGAATACCCCCAAATAAAACCCTGGTTTTAGTACTTCAACTGTTCATTTTTGGGGTCCCTGGGTATTTGACATGAGGGGATGTGATTCTCAGCACAATTTTTTGATTGGAATTTCAACATCAAATCCTTAGACTTGCTGCTTATCACCCTTTTCCAATCATTCTCAAAACAAAATCATACAATTCCAATGCTTGATGGTGCAAATCCCTATATGTTTGACATTTTGTGTGTTATATTATATTCCACCCAAATATCGCATGATTTTACTCCAGGAAGCTTGAAGTACCCCTCTCTGCAGGCAACAGAGAGCAAGACGGCGAAACCCAGGGAGACTGGACATCGGGAAATGGGTGGTCGAGATGGCTTCTCAATGAATTCTTGGGCCCGGGGGTGATTACGTCTTGGGTGATTTCTATCTAATGGGGTATTTTCCATATTGGATGATGTATGTTTTGATATGGCTTGATCTATTAGTAGCTGTTTCTTTTTCTAAAAGTCTTGTGCTTCAAGATGTTTTGGAAGCTCCACCTAAGACTTGTTTTGGAAATAATGGGAACATCTATAGTCTATAGTAAGTCGAGTGAACGTGTCCGGCCTCAGGATGGTGTGCTCACCATGACCGATGCTTCACTGGCTGATGCTTCTCCTGCTGATGTTCTCTTTGTGCCTGGTGGTTTGGGAACTCGCGCCTTGCAACACGACGACGCTGGGATGCGCGCAAGACACTGAAGGGAGGAGGGAACTCCGAGAAGTCAAGGACCTGAGTCCAGTTGATCAACAGATGGTGATCATGTGATCAAGGATGCCTGAAGTTTGCTGAATGGTTGAAACGTTGTTGTTTAAAAGCTTTGGGATTTCTTGCATCCCTCCAAGAGGATTCCAGGTAAACCCCTAGATAGTGTAATCAGGAGGGTCAGCCTGATTCTATGAATCCGGCTTTGGCAATCGCTTGTTTGAATGCGAACCTAAACGTTTGTCAAAATAGGCAGATCATTACTGCATGTCCCCGTAAAACCTGCGAAGAAGCACGTGGTACTGGCTCAACATGTTTCGGGGTTACCCGTCTTCGATTTTTGCGCGGTTACCGGGGTCCTCAGCACGTGGTGGTTTTCTGTTTCAGGGATCGACGCACTAGGACGAGATGACTGGAGGATGACCCATTTGGTTTTAACCAAATGTGTGTTGTTAAAAGCTCCATTTATAATCATATGATATCATTTATATTGGTTGCATAGGCCTTTTATATTCTTTTGTCCCATTGATAAAAAGATCTACGACATATTTAAATGTTCACTTGTTTTCTTCCAAAAAAGTATAATTTTGTGTACTCCATACTTTTCTCCATTTCAGAGCTTGATGATCCATGGAGCATCATGGAGCTTTAGATCCCAGAAGTTCGCTCCCCAGGCAGCCTTCATCTCCCGCTTGGGGGAGCTGGCGCGCAGTGCCTGCGTGGTGCTGACGGTGTGCACCGGATCGCTACTGCTGGCAGCTACGAAGCTGTTGGACGGGCTGAAGGCGACGACCAACAAGGTGCGCCAGGAAGGGATGGTTGAAGCATAGTTGATGGTGTTGCCTGGGGACAATGAAATACCATCAACTATAGTGAAATAGTGAAATAGATGTGAACTTGTTAGTGAAATAGTTGTTAGTGACAATGATGGATCATAAGTATTTCACTTTCACAAATTCACTTCAAAAAAAAGAAATACCACCTAGAAACATCAGCCAAAACCAATGGGTTTTTCGTAGGGGATTTCCAGAGATTTGGGACCATATACCGGGATTTTCACCATAAAGGATGGACTTTAAGCAGCCATCGGGATATAGTTGACATGTTGGTTGTTGGTTGATCATGAATTCCATCATTGGAGTCAAACACCATCATATATAGGGGGCTGATCATTAATCAATTGGATTTCCTGTTCTTAACTAACCAGGATTAGATGGAATTAAATTGTTTTTTTAAAATAGAGATCCACAGTCGGGGAACCAGTTCGTTTGAATGTCGCAATTTGATAGGTGGTTAGCACATCCACCTTAGCAGCAATTTGTATTTGCATAAACGGATTGGTGCATAGTTGGTTCATGGATAGTTGTTTTTGATCGTGCTTGTGCTGCTTATTGCCACTTCGATGAACATATGTCCCACTCACAAACAGTTGCCCTCTAGTATGCTAACATAGCTATAGAAAATCACCATTTTTAGATAAGTGTAATGGGTAAATCATCTAAATGGACCATTTTCCATTGACACGCTAGTTTTACTGAAGGGTACGTTCTTTTTGTTGGGGCTTGTGTTTGGTTTACTAAGTTTACTCGACTCTCCGACTTCGAAGGGGGCCTTTGATGAGATTGCCTCGCAGTACCCAAGTGTACAATGGCAGCGCTCGGCCAGATGGTGCGTGGATGGAAAGTTTTATACTTCATCAGGCATCGAGCAAGTGATCGGGCAAGTTTTGAACACCAACATGGTCCGCAACTGGATGTTCGTTTCCCCAAAAGTATGGTATAATGGGTTTTGCATGGTTTGGCACTCCCCATTTCGCGGTCCGTGTCCGAATTGGTGAGAGCATCCAGTCGTTGTTTGTTCATTTTGGTTGCTGAGATCTCCATGATTTTTCTGACAATGTCCATGTTTGTTGGGGGAATCTGATTTTGCGGTAGTGAGCCATTGTTTTGTTGTAAAATTTTGTAAAATCATGTCGAATCATGAATATCCACTAGTTCATCCATTAACATCCAGTTAAAAAATTATGTAAAAGCCATTAAACAAATCCACTATTATTAAATCCATGACAGTCTAGTTGAAAACCAAAAACCATAAACAAACAATTAGAATCCGCGCTCACGGCGTTAGCGCCAGGCGTGGCCGCAGGGACCGATTTGGCGCATTTCTTTCTGCGGGAGCTCTTCGGGACCAAGGTCTTGGACGTCTTGGGCACTTGGGGCACGGGATATGTTACATGGGTAATGTGGGTAAAATAATCATTATATTATCCCATTCTTATCCTATTTATGATCACCAAAAATAAATTATCCCAATATGTATTGGGGACTCATTATAATGAATAAAGTCCGATTCCGCACCTACTGGACTGCGCAACTAGGATTGGGCAACTCTTTGGTCGGATTGCGCAACATTGCGCAACTAGGATTGCGAAACTTTGCTTGCATGCGCAACTCCCAGGATTGCGTAACTCCGCTTGCGCAACTTCCAGGATTGCGCAACTCTGCTTGCGCAACGCGTAGGATTGCGCAACTCTGCTTGCGCAACTGCTTTTGACAGATTGCGCAACTCCCAGGATTGTGCAACTCTGCTTGTGCAACTACGCTGGCCGATTGCGCAACTCTGCAACTAGACTTGCTCCAAACAATTCCAGCGCCCATAGAACTCGAAAATGACACATGCCGTCCACAAGAGCAAAACGTTATCAAAATTCCCACCCCCATGGAACTTCAAACTGACTTAGAGTGTCCACAAGGTTAAGATGATATCAAAATTCCCACCCCCATGGAACTTCAAACTGACTTGGAGTGTCCACAACGTTGAGATGATATCAAAATTCTCACCCCCATGGACCCTCAAACTGACTTGGAGTGTCCACAAGGTTAAGATGATATCAAAATTCCCACCCCCATGGAACTTCAAACTGACTTGCAGTGTCCACAAGGCGCAGATGATATCAAAATTCCCACCCCCATGGAACTTCAAACTGACTTGCAGTGTCCACAAGGTTAAGATGACATCAAAATTCCCAACCCCATGGAACTTCAAACTGACTTGGAGTGTCCACAAGGTTAAGATGATATCAAAATTCCCACCCCCATGGAACTTCAAACTGACTTAGAGTGTCCACAAGGTTAAGATGATATCAAAATTCCCACCCCCATGGAACTTCAAACTGACTTGCAGTGTCCACAAGGCGCAGATGATATCAAAATTCCCACCCCCATGGAACTTCAAACTGACTTGGAGTGCCCACTAGGTTAAGATGATATCAAAATTCCCCCCCATGGAACTTCAAACCGACTCGGGGTGTCCACAAGGTTAAGACAATATCAAAATTTCCACCTCCTTGGAACTTCAAACTGACTTGGAGTGTCCACAAGGTTAAGAGGGCTATGATTGAGATCCTGGAGTAAGCTAAACAATCGGTTTTTAAAATTAATTTCTTTTATAAAAAACTATGATTTTTTTATGAAAAAATATAATTTTCTATGATGAAATTTATGATTTGTTTTTTTGCCTGAAAACAGTTTATGATTTTTTATGATTTTTTCTTTTTTTTTATGATTTTTTCGTTTTTTAAAATATTTTTTTTTATGATTTTTTTTATGATTTTTTTTTGATTTTTTGAAAATGATTTTTTTTTAATGAAAATTTATGATTTTTTTATGAAAAAATGTTTTTTTTTTAAACGGTTTGTTTTATGTTTTTTTTAATGATTTTTTAAAATGTTTTTTGTGTTTTATGAAACAATATGTTTTTTTTAATGATTTTTTTTTTGATTTTTTTATGATTTTTTATTTTTTTTGTATTTTATGAAAAAACATGTTTTTTTTATGAGAAATATATATGATTGTATTTATGATTTTGAAAAAATGGTTTTTGTGTTTTATGAAATATGACAATTTCTATGTTTTTTTATTTAATTTATTTTGTTTTTTCATGATTGTGATGATTTTTATGTCTTTTTCTTTTTTATGATGTTGTGTTTGATTTTTTATTTTTTTGTTTTTCTTTTCTAAATAACTGACTGGAGAACATTGAGCGAACATTTTTTTTATTTCAAACACATGGAGAACAGCAAACAAACAACAACGTTTTTTGTATTTCACACACATGGAGAACATTGAACAAACATTGACTTTGCATTTATTTATTTATTTAAATTTATTTTGGCGTTGGCTTTAGGATTGGTGGTTTTTTGACCACTGCTGAGCGAAAAACGAATTGAACAGCAAATTTTGCAGATATCTCAAACTGCACCAACTGCTGCATGATGGCAGGCAGTGAGGTGTCAGTGATGACTTACGAACAAAAAAACAAATTATGTGGTGTGTGTGTGTGGGGGGGGGGGGGCAGGGCGATGCCAATGTTGGGGCTAGTTGGTCAACGAACAGTGTCACAATTTTTTCCGGGGCTAGTGGCCAGCAAGTAACTTGCATCCAGTTGCTAGCAACAAATAACTAGCAACTAGCAACTAACGACAACCAGTGACTAGCTGCGAGTAGCTTAGCTAGCAAGCAGCTAGCTAGCAACAAGCAACAACTGGCAGCTAGCAACTAACAGCTAGTTAGCAGCAGTAAACTTGATTTTTTTTTTTGCTATGACAAAATTTGTTGAGCAACTATTTGCTGTAAGGAGGCAACTGACTAAACCTATGCTGTGTGATGAAAAACCTGGGAAGGAAACATGTTTAGGCCAAACAGGGAAAGTCAGTATTGAAACACTTCACTACCTTCACTACCTTTAGGGTTCCAAGATTTCAGGCCAGCAGCAAGGATCCAAAACCCTAAACCCTAAACCCTAAACTCTAAGGAGCTCCGGGGGCAGGGTGACACCCTGTAGATGGGCGCTTAAGGGGTCATAAAAATTCATTAAAAAAATCATAAAAAAATCATAAAAAAATCATAAAAAATCATAAAAAAACATAAAAAATCATAAACAAATCATAAAACTAAATACATATGTTTTTTTATGATCAATTTTATGATTTGTGTGATTTTTATGATTTTTTTTAAAGATTTTTTTATGATTTTTATTTTTTTATGATTTTTTTATTATTTTTTAAAATGATTTTTTATGTTTTTTTTATAATTTTTTTATGGATTGGTTCAGGAAAGCAACGTCCCAGGCTCCAGGCTTGAGGCTCTAGAATCTCCGACCTGAGGCCTTAGGCTCCAGGCTCGAGGCTCTAGAATCTCCGACCTGAGGCCTTAGGCTCCAGGCTCGAGGCTCTAGAATCTCGGACCTGAGGCCTTAAGTTCCAGGCTTGAGGCTTTAGAATCTCGGACCTGACGCCTTAGAGAATCTCGGACCTGACGCCTTAGGCTCCAGGCTTGAGGCTCTAGAATCTCCGACCTGAGGCCTTAGGCTCCAGGCTCGAGGCTCTAGAATCTCCGACCTGAGGCCTTAGGCTCCAGGCTCGAGGCTCTAGAATCTCGGACCTGAGGCCTTAAGTTCCAGGCTTGAGGCTCTAGAATCTCGGACCTGAGGCCTTAGAGAATCTCGGACCTGACGCCTTAGGCTCCAGGCTTGAGGCTCTAGAATCTCGGACCTGAGGCCTTAGGCTCAGGCTTGAGGCTCTAGAATCTCGGATCTGGGGCCTTAAGTTCCAGGCTTGAGGCCCTAGGCTTTAGGCCTCAGGCTTGAGACCTTTGTGACTTAGCGGGCAGCTGGCATTAAAGAAGTGAATACCGAGAAAAGAAACTAGCCTTAGGATAGGTCACAAATTTTGAACTGATGATGCACCTTGCCCAGCACAAAGCTGGACCCATGAACAAAACTCTGAACTGTTTTTTAGGAACATGATGGCGTTTGGTTTCTATGGATTTGACATCAAACAAAATTTCTTACCACAGGCCTTTGGGCCTAGAACCATTATTGGCCAAATCCTGGCGACGTTAAAGATAAAAATAAACACATGAACAATTAAAAAACATTAACAAAGACAAAAAACAACATTGAAAAAAATCATTCAAAAACATTACAAAACACAAATCATGAACAACGTACAAAATCAAAAAAAACAAAAATCATACAATTCATAAAAATCATAAAGCAATCATAACAAATCATTAAAAAATCACAAAAATCCGTATAAAAACACCAAAAAAATCAAAACATATTAAAGCACATTAAAAAAATAATATAAAAAATTAGAAAAAAATCATAAGAAAATCATAAGATTCTTCAAAATATAAAAACCCATAAAAAACATTTTTTAAAAAAAAACCATTAAAAAATCATAAAAAAATCATAAAAAAATCATAAATTTTCATAAAAATATCATAAAATTTCATTTAAAAAACATTTTCAAAGAATCATAAAAAAAATCATTAAAAAACACATAAAAACAAGTGAAAAAACAAAAAAATCATTAAAAAATCATAAACAAAATCATAAAACAATCATAAAAAAATATAAAAAAAACATATTTTTTTAAAAAAAAAACATAAAAAATCATATCCATTTTTCACCATTTTTTCAAATCATATCCTAAAAATCATAAATATTCATTAAAAAATCATAAAAGAAAATAATCAATAAAACAATTTTTTAGCTAATGTTTTGGATCTCAAGGCTATGAAGGCCTTGGCGCGACGCGTCTTGAAGTTATGGGAATGAGTTCGGACGTAGCCGATCGAAAAAAGGTGCTGGACTGCCGCTGCAACAGGGGAGGGAGCTTCAAGATTTGTAATGATTTTTCACGTCAGATTGTGAAACTTGGACGCCGCATCCTGAGATTTGAGGCTTTGATTATGAAACTTGGAGTTTCACAGCTTCCTGATCTGTCTTCAGAGCTTCGCAGTACCCGTGAAACAATCTCCACCTAAAGTTTCACCATCTCTCTGCAGACTGTCACAATACCAGTTTCACAATCTCTCCCCAGAGTCTCCCAGAGTTTCACAATTTGTCTTCAGAGTTTCACAAGTTTCACAATCCGTCCCCCGAGTTTCACAATCCGTCTTCAGAGTTTCACAATACCAGTTTCGCAATCTGACCCCAGAGTTTCACAATCCGCTTTCAGAGTTTCACAATCCTACTTAATAGTTTCACCATCCGAATTTCAAGTTTCAAAATACAAGTTTCACAATCCGCGCGGCAAGTTTCAGAATCCAAGTTGCACAATCCGTCTGGGAAGTTTCACAATCCGACGTTGACCCATTATAATCTTATTTAAATCTCGTACTTAAATCGGAAATTAATATCCCAAATCACCATAAATAGGATAATCATGGGTTAATGGTGGGACAATCATGGGATAATCATGGGATAATTACTGTAATGGGGGACGATAATGGGATAACTATAAACCATCCCCAAATCACCTAGGTCAATCTTAGATGGCTATAGAAACTAATCCTAACTATATAGTCATTTGGTATCAACGGGATAATCTACTAACCAGCTAAGAATCTATTTCTATGCAGGGTATCTAGGATCGGCCATGAAATCACCATAAATAGGTGGGATTTCAACCATTCCCAGTCATGGTTGGTTTATGGCATTGTATGGCATTGTTCTACCCATATGACTCATGATGCACATTTGTTTTGGACCTGGACCACAGATGGCTTCCAGAAAAAAACACTGGATGCTTCCAGGGAATCTGCAGATCAACTTGTGTACATCGATGGTTGGATGTTCCAGGTAGCGAAGATGGCGTCGACCTTCGCAGAGTATCAGTACTCGGAAGACCCGGAGAACGATCCCTTTGCGGCGCCGCAGAGACTTCACTGGTGATGGGGATTCAATGGAGGGGTTACCGGTAATTGGAATGGATATATACCAGGAATATGTGGGGCTATTTGACACCAGCTCATTTGCGAAACGGATGAATGTCATCAACCAAGGATGATTGTTAAGCCCTTGTTTTTTCCCATAAAATGTGGAGGGATTACCATACCTAAACCAGGAGCAAAGTGAATTTCTATACCTCAGAACGGATTTTAAAATGTGCTGGGTACTGTTGTGTTCGTCTTGAAACAGATGATTCAGAGGAGCCAACGATAGCCAATGATGATGAGGATGGATGGATGGATGGATGGATGGATGGATGGATGGATGGATGGATGGATGGATGGATGGATGGTGGGTTATGATATGTTTTGTTTTTTGGGATTCAATGACTGAGAACTGATTATTGAGGGTAGGCGATTTTTCAGGACATTGGTTGATGGTTGATCGATCCATTGAAGGGATTCCCTATGGCAATCATGGTACCCCAGTCATCATCCAGTCGTCATGAATGACTCTTTAGACCATGAGTGACCTGAAACCCATGTTGACCTCATGACTTAGGACACCCCCATGCGACCATGACACCGGCCTTGTCTCCGAATAGGAAATCTTTTGCCCTGAAGAACGCAACGGGGAAGACCCTGCGGTTGGTCTTCGTGGCATATGATCAGCGACTTGATGTGGGTGGGAAATCCCCGAACTAAATTGAGGGTCATAGCTGGGAACTTGTCGATAAATTGGCGGATTGTCATGAAGTTTGGTGGGTTCACCAAGTTGGGGATTCAACATCATTCAACTATGTCTAGATTCTCAAAGAAATTCAACCAGTAAAACCGGGGATTTCGCAAACAAATGTGGAGTTTCATCCAAGAAGCTTTCTGGGCTCATCACTTTTCCCATACATATGCAACCATGCCCTTGCATCCCTTCAAATTCCTGCGGTGGTTCCCCCCATTTCCACCAGGTTTGTTGGTTTATAACCCCCTTGACTAGTTTGATATACCTGGGAAACCCACCTGTGTAAAAAGATCGCCCTCAGTTGAAAGAGCAATAATTATCGCTCCCAAAATGGACGATCGCCGTTTCAATGAAGAAACGCTCGAAGGGGAGTTTTAAAGCTTATCGACATCTCCCCCTGCAGGACACATATTACTTTTTCATCTAGAGCAGGCATCCAAGTCCAAGTGCTCCTTCATGTGACGTCTCAGGAGTATAGCTGCTTTGATGAGATAAAACTCAAGAACTCTTTCTGTGATCACCCTTGTGTCAACTTTCCTCCCCAGCCGACTTATTCTTCCCATCAGGTCCTCGTTCTGACAACAATCCCAAAAGACTGGCGACACTATGGAATCACTGCCACTCTCCAACTGATGCAAATTTTCCAGCAAGACATGTTTCTGGAAGTGAACTTTCGGCTTGAAGGGAGACTATAGAGGCAATGAGTATTGCTCATGCAGTTTTAAGCAAGCCACGCAAAGCCCTCGTTCGTACAAGTTTGCACCACACTTGTGGCTCACCAGCGCACCATGTGCGTACAGTAGGTGATATTTGTATTTGTGAGACTGCAACCTGCCGGCCAAAGACCGTGGTGCGAAGAGCCAAAAAGTGAGAGTATAGCAAGACCACCAGGCAGCAAATGAGGACCATCAAGAAAAATATCCGAGAAAACAGGAAATAGGCAAGATGATAAAAAGGGGAAGATCAGGCACGTTATTCCGAGCTGGAACCCATAAGTTGGCACAACTTGTCATGGAAAGGCCGAGTGCGTCGCCACTGCACAGCAAAAGCGTGGGCCGCCCAGGAATGGGCACCGTTCAAGAGATTGCACCAGTCATGGAAAGTTGGCAAGCTCGAAGCAGTGATGGCCGCCGCAGCGAATCTGCAACTGTCAGTCCCCATTGCAAGGCAGGAGTCCAATTGGGAACTTTAAGGGATCCACATGATCTCAACCCCCCAAGCCACAAGGGAAGCAATGTGCGCAACCAGAACCCTGGCACATCACCATGCCAAGAATTTGGTTCAAGTCCTCTTTGGACAATAGGTAGATTGCCCGCAAGGAGTCGCACTCGCACGTGGGCTTTGTTGGGTGCAAGAAGCGCCTGCAGCACAGCAGTTCGTTCTGCAGCTGCCGGAGATTGGTCAGCCCCCTCAACGCGGCCGCAGATTTCCACACCTGCATCACATCCGACAATTGCCCAAGAAGCAAATTGCCAAAGTTTATTTTTGGGAGAAATCAGCAACTTCCATCCAAACCGAGGATCGGGGGTTGACCGTTTTTCGAAAGAAAATGTCAAAAATTCGACAAGTTTGGGGTCAGGAGCCAAAACATGGTGGGTGCACTGGCAGGAGAACTAAAGGTACTAGCATTCTGTTTTCGTCAACCGATCGTGCAGGCGGTGGCTGAACACAGGCTTGGCAGGAAAATGTCACATGGGTGCGATCTGGGCAAGACTCCCCACAATCACATGTCTCCTCCACTTCTTTACGGGCCAAAACCCTGGCATCCGTGGCAGCACCGATAGCTACTCGAGTCTTGTACGCAGGACCCCCTTCAAGGACTAAGTTGGATTGGAAACCTATATAAGGCTCATGATCTTTTTGCAGAGAGGTGGTAATTTTTCCTGTCTTTGTTATACAAAATTTTAGCCCAAGACAAACGGGCAAGCTTTCTAAAAGTAGAGTCCGGGACCCAGCCAGGGCGCAGTTGACCGTATGGTGTGTCCCACACCCCACCTTGGCTGATTTGCCCATCAAGTTTCTTCAAAACTGCAACAGCATTTTTGCTGGGTCTGTTTGGAACCGGTAAACCGGCATTTCTGGAGCACTTGCGTCGCCACTCCTGTTGCAGAGTTTCAACATACAAAGCGGCAGTAGGTGAAACCAAGCTGTTGCTAGGCGCGAGGCTGACAGGATGACAGACAAAACCATTCTTCTCTGTGGGTCAGTCTCCTCATGAGTGAACCCAGCACAAGCTGTAGCAATCCACTTGCAAAGAAGGGTTGTGTCACTTCCTTTTGTGTTGGCGCAAATGTAGCTTGAAGCATTCTTGTAGTTGAAGAGCTGCGTGGAGAAGCTTCTCAAAGCTGGGGTGTGAGATGTTGTTGTGGCCCACCGAGAAAAATGGCCGTGCGCAGCAATGAGATTATCAGGTAGCTGGCCACTGCGCCCAAAATAGCCCCATCGCACCCAAAGAAAAATCGTCGAAGTCCCGGTACAAACCCAAGCGTAGATTGTGTAAACAGTCATGGCGGTAGATCAGCTCAGGCCTTCTCGAATCAAAGGGGACTTGGTGCAAGCAAGATGCCTGTTTGGTGAGTACGGTCGCTCAGCATGGGGGGTGGCCTCCCACACTGGGTGCTGTGAAATATCTTTCAAGGCCAGGTCCTGGCTGCTTCCTGCAAGGCACTGGTGGCAGCAAGCAGCGTCTCGTGCCTTTCCTTTATTTTCAAATCTTCGCGTGAGCGGGGCTTTCTTACTCACCCATGTCAAGTCGCCTTTCGACCCCACAACCACCACCCGATAGTGATTTCCATGTGCAACAAAGCCATCGTGGAACAAAGTTTCAAACTGTCCCGACAGAAATGTGATCAGCTCAAGCGTAAGCATTTTGTATATAAATTTTCCATTAAGATCACTGGCAGCAAACACATTGGCCAGTGCTGTAGGAATGAGTGGCTCTTCATGTTGCTATGCAGCAGACTTTTGAATGGGCGTCTTTGGGCACACTGTGGAGACCATGAACCAGTAGGAGCACAAGCAGTACAAACTGATGAATGGCCCTTGATACCAATTGGATTCTCTCAGCTGAAAGCAGTCGTGCTTGATCGCCTCGCCGCACCCCTCATCTCCATGTAGGACAACAGGGATGAGCTGTTCCATTGGCACGCCCAGAGAGAATGCAGCATGTGTGGGGTGGTCTTGTTGGTACCCCTCCCAAAAAGGCTTTGCATGCATCCGGTGTGCCAAACACAACCACCGGATGGCACCATACCAAGTACTCAATCAGCTTCTTTGTGTGCAAGTAGTGAATGGGTAAAACAGAGCCATCCTCACAATGGTAGTTGTACACATCACGTTTGACACGCCAAGCAATACCCCATGTTCTTGTGCTTCGGTACGCATTTCTAGCAACATTTGAATGCCCACTGGTTGGTTTAGCTGTCCCACTTTCATGCGATGTAGCATCTTGCAGCCGCTTGCGCAATCTGGCAGGGACCTCAGGCCGTAAAAGGCAAGAGTGAAGGACTTGGAAAGAGACCCAATCTTTCAAGATAATTAGGTGGGTAATAATTTCTCAAGAACCTTGTATGGTTCAAAAAACACAAGGTGAGTTGATACCGGAACGTGTTAAAAGGCATTGGCCCCATCAAAGATTGCTTCCGCAAAAGCTTCTGTGAAGGGCCGCTTTGTCCCCACATCAGCTGGACCATTGGCACCTGGCACGTGGAAATTGTTGTCACCATTTCTTGGGGGTGATGGCTTTATTTGAACAGTTTGCACAGAAAAGCAATACATAGCGACTCTTTTTTTCATCTCTGGTCCTTGGATGCTTATGCAACAGGCCGCCACATGCTATGTGTGACCAAGCTCATCGAACACTCACACCGCTTTGTGTGCGAGCACTCCCCAGGTTCTAATTTGGAGTGAAGCAGTAGCTCCTAAAAAATCCGCTGCCAATTTTTCAGATAGCCAGGCTTTTGGTTCCATCACTGGGACGGCCAGGTGTCAGAATCTTAAAGTTCATAAAAAGTAAAGAATCGCTCTCATGCCAAAACTGTCGTTCTCTCAGCCTGAAAAGGCAGTTCTGCAAACGAAGACAGAAATTTTGCATACATTGGAAGACGTAGGTAAAAGTCATAAGTTGGTTTATAACCCCCGACTATATAGATATAACCCCCATCAACTATACTATGAATAGAATACGAATTCGATATATTCACCACAAGGCCGAGTCAAAGGAGCTTCATGTCAGAGCCGAGGTTTGAGATGTTGGACAGTTTCGGGCCGCTGGAGATGTTCGCCGTGGCCAATCGCCTGTTGGTACGCCAGGGGGAACGGCCCTGCTTCGAAGTGATGAGTCTGGCGGAGGATGCGGTGACGAAATCCTTTGGTGGACCATACTTCCGGATGGATCAGGTCAGGTGTATAGATTGACGGAGGGGAGGAGAAAAAGATGGAAAACCAGGGACTCGTCGGTTTGAGGATGACTTCTCACCATTTTCACACACTGTTTTTCTACATTATCAGTCGTGTGAAATCCCAGTTTTTGTTCCTTATTGA